TTTATCATAAAAAAAAAAATCTTTTTCGATCCTAATTCCCCATTTTAACAAATTAATAAATATCTTTCTCAACTCCAATTGCACTAGGTTTTTTTTACTTTAGAAGATTAATCAATAATTTCTTGACTTCAATTCAACCAACATATTCTTTTTAGCAGATACAATAATGTCATATCTTACGTTCATCCTTTTTGACACAATTTTACTAGCGATACTTTAGAATTGCTAGTTTTTTTTTTTTTTTTTTTTTGGTATTAAGGTGACCTCTTTGGTCTGAGGAACTTTTTATTAGAGTATAGATGAAGTTTTATATGTAATTACAACAATAGTACATCAAGCCACACGTGCACCTTTTGAGTGCCTATTTAAGTAGTACATCTGAAGGTTCTACACTATCTGCCGTACCTGTGCCCCAACTAAGGGGGTATCCATTTAAACCATCTGGTTCTAACTACCTCCATTAGCCCTCTAACCCAATAGGTTTCCTCACTATTCATACACTAGATTTTGGTATCACCCAATATGAATTTCACACCCTACCTTAGAACACTTAACTATCCTCGAGGTAAACCTAACACAGTGGTACATGTCCCACACATGTATTCACGTGCTTGTTCCTATAACTTCTTCCTAATTAGTACATATTGATCTGCCGTTCCGTATTCATATCTCACACCACCTTTTGGGGTGCTGCCATTCTACGAACATTTCTCAAGCACTAACCTTCCTAATTAGGCACCCATTACGTACTCTCTAATTTATACTTTTATTTTTAGCTTTTAGTATATTTCAATCTAATAGTCTAGAAGGTTAAGTCTGCTAAATTTTTAGTTTATAGTTATATTAACCCTAATATATATTTTTATAATATATATTTTTTTCTTCTAGCTTGTACTCTGATATTCTTAGTTAGTTTTTTTTATAAGAGTATATTATACTTTTCTCCTTTTAAGAGTACTTTGTACTCTTACTTTTGAGAGTCTTTTGTATACATATTTTTGGTTTAAATATTTGTTTTTTAGTTTTAGCTTTTTTTATAGCATTATTAAAAGTCTGTATTACCTCTCTACTTAGATTTTTTCAAGCTAGTTTTCAGTCTTTTAGTTCTTTTTTTGATTTTCTATAGTTCTGGAAGGTTTATTACAAGTTTGCACTATTTATTCCAGTTTGTATTTTTTTATATAATCCTGGTATTATATAGATATTTCTAAAATTTTCTAGTATACAAATATACTAGTCTAATCAGAGTTATAGGCTTTAGAACTTAACTAATTAATAAAGATCAGTTACTATAACACAAAATAATTATTCAAAACATTACCAATAGAATTTGAACTCTATATCTTTAATTACAAGAAGCTTGAGAAATAACAACTAACTAACTATACTAGGTTATTTTTTATTTTTATTTTTTTTTTACTTTAATAACCTTGCACAATTTATCAGATATATATGAGTCTATAAAAACTAAACTATCTAATATTTATAGAATGTAGTAACTTAGTAAAGTGGTGGAGTTGTCACACTCCTAGATAGCAGGTCTAGAGTTTGAATCCCATGAACAATGATTTTGAAAATACTAGATCTGTATTGGTTAACATTAAGATTATCGATTGGATCCAGATATCTGTAATCTTGATTATACCATCTTGAATAGGAGCTTTGGTGCAATAAATTCAAGAAACCGGAATTACCAAAAATCTGTTTGGCAAGTTCTGAGTAGGAAGATAATATGATCTTTGACAGTGCTACAGGAAGACTGAATTTGGAATTGGAGACCGAAACCAGAAAACCAAGTGACCAGGTCCTTAAGTAGGGGGCACACTAGCTAAACCACCGGGTCACCAATCAGAGAAAAAGAACATGTGCTTTAGAAGTATATATCAAGAGAAGGGAGATGATCATAAGGCACCTAAAGCCTGGGCAGACTGATTCTTCCGAGTTGTTAACTAGAAGTAAGGGAGAGACCGGTAAAGAATCCAAGAAAGAAGGAAAGTCCAAATATGGATACTAAGGTTGTGCAAACCTTACAAGGGCAAGGAGTATATAATAAAAAACTAATTAGGAAAGTTGTGGCTTGAGATACAGATCGGGTTATAGCAGTATTCTAAAAGATAGCTTGAGATACGAACCTGGTAACAGCAGCACAACAGGTACTAGTTAGAAAGAAATTACCAAATATGCAGATATAAACATGTATGGGACATGGACTACTCTGTTAGGTTTACCTCGAGGATAGTTAAGTGTTCTAAGGTAGGGTGCGAAATCCATATTGGGTGATACCAAAATCTAGCATATGAATAGTGAGGAAACCTATTGGGTTAGAAGGCTAATGGAGGTAGTTAGAACCAGATGGTTTAAATGAGTACCCCCCTAGTTGGGGCACAGGTACAGCAGATAGTGTAAAACCTTCGGGCGGACTACTTAAATAGGCACTCAAAAAGTGCACGTGTGGCTTGATGTACCATCGTTGTAATTATATATAAAACTTCATCTATATTCTAATAAAAAGTTCCCCAGACCAAAGAGGTCACATTAATACCAAAAAAAAAAAAAAAAAAGTATAAATTAGAGAAAATAAAGTATATAAATATTAAGATTTTAAATAAGCTCTACAAGAACATAGCAATTAAATAAATTTAAAACCTAACTACAAGTAAAAGTCTTAGCAATTATAATATTAAATTAGCTAAAATAAGATATTGAAGGCTTCAGTAAGTTTACTTTAAGAATAGACTAGCCTAAACTTAGTAAGTTCTAAAGTATAAATAAAATTTGGACAACTGAGTTAGAAGATTCTACTAGGTAGAATTAGATTATAATTAAAAAGTTTAAATAGATAATTTTCTAGTTAGGTTGCAAGTATAGTAGCTAGTATAGAACCTAGAATAGACTATTTAAATAAATAATTAAAAGTTGTATATATAGCTAGTTATACTCTTGTTTGTAAAAAAAATCAAAGAGCTTAAATAGATAATTACTTAGTTAGATTGCAGGTATAGCAGCTAGTATATAACCCAAACAGACTACTTAAATAGATAACCAAAAGTTATATATATAGCTAGTTGTATCTTTGTTGTAACTAAATTTAATTTCTAATAAAAAGTTGTAAAGTTATAGCTAAAAAGATTATTTTTAATACTAAAATATATATATATATATATATAAGCTAGTACAAAAAGATTTGTACTTTAAATAGCTTTAATTAAAATATTTTTTGTATAAATTAATTTTAAATTTTTTTAATTTAATATAATTATTAGTAGAGTTTTTTAAACTTAAATCAAATCAAATATTAGGCCAATTTGAATTTGATAAAATCAAATTTGTCTTGATTTAAATTTGATTTAATTTTAAAAACTTAAATTTGAATTTAATTTGTATTTGAATTTTAATAATAGTTTTTTAAATCAAATCAAATATTTGTCAAATTAAATCAAATATAACTATATTTGAATTTAATTTGATTTGAAATTTCTGTATTTGAATTTGATTTGAGTTTAAATATTTGATTAAATCAAATCAAATTAAATCAAATTGCAAAACCCTAATTATTAGATTACCAAATAAAATTATTTTGATTATTTTATTAATAAAATAAAAAAAATTATTTATTTTTTCCATACTTAGACAGTCTCGCTAGTACTTTTATTAAATATATAGTAAAAACTTAAGAATTAATATATTGATCTAATTTAATAAGTCTAACATTACCCAAATATTTTGAAAATACTCAAGTACAACCTGCCGCACTAATTTATCTAAATAACAAACTAGAAGGTTATGTCAAAAAGCCTAAGTATTCTTTCTTATAAATTTCTCCTTTTTCTTGTAAAACTAAACGAAGAAAGGGATATATGAATGGACTATAATCATTTGATAGAGAAGTATAAAAGAGAAAAAAAAAAATAAGAAAAAATCTAAATAGAATAACAAGAAAACAAAGTAAAAAAAAAAAAGAAAAAGAAAAAACAAAAAGAAAGAAATAAAAGCTACTCTAACTGCTCTAATCCTAATTAAAAAAAAGAGTGAACCTTAAAAAACACTATTATAGCCTGTAAAAGGCTTAAAAAAATTATATAACAAATGCAACATCTGTATATCTTTAGTATAAAGCTTTGTCTTAACATATGAATTTCTTTCTGATTATATGGCCATTTTTGAATATTCCTTTAACCGGTGATCTAGACTCATGAAGTAGCACCATATTCATTAGTAAACAAAATACATGGTTGCAATCTACTAGGTTATCTGAATTTAGAAGAAATAAACAATACTGATCTTTTGACAGAGGTAAGCTGTTTTGCTTACTTTTTATGAAAATTTTAGAGAAAGAGCAAGTGGGTGATAGTATAGAAAATAGCCCTTGTACTCTTTTTTAAAAAATATATATTTTTTTCTGAAAGTAGTAGAATGTATAGAGCCAAGTAAACTGCTGCCTTTCTTGTCGGTAGGTGATAAACTCTGAACTTGTTAGCAAGTAGCATATGAGAACTACTTCTAAATAACAAATGCCATCTTCACGGTAAGTAATAAGCTCTAAGCCTGTTAGCAAATAGCATATGAAAACTATCTCTAAATAACAGATACTGGTTTATAGTTTTGGTCAGCCTTATGCTTCTCCTTTTTGCCATAATTTACTATTTTTTAGAAAAAAAAGTTTGTTGTATTTGGTACAAGAGATTGTTTAAAAAAAAAAAAATTTATTTATAGCAACTTTTTTTAAAAATATTTACTAGAAAGGATCATCACACTCTCTCTCCTGACCACATACGTCTAGGATGGAGAGAACATAGAAAAGACAAAATAAACTTTACACAAGAGTCTTTTAAACTCAAAACCAGCAACAGAACGGGGTTTTTCACCTAGTTCCCAAGAAACGGAAACTTTTTAGCACAGAAACTAATAAAAACAAGAAAACTAAGACACTGGAGCCCTCTCTAGAGAAGCAACAATCTCTATTAGACAAAACAAACAGCCTACTTGTGAACAAAGGACCTATGGCTACAGAGAACAGCCAAGCTGCAGCAACTAATTTGTTACAACAAAGCTCTACAATCAATAATAGACCCAGCTGGGATGAGCAAGTTTCTCAAGAAATCGAAACAAAAACAAACAATGAAAAACTGCTTACAAATAATGAGACAGACGCGTCCAGATCTGAAACACGCCCAATATTGCAAGAAAACCAGGTAAACACAACAATGGAAACAACAAACACAAAAATATACAACACGTACCTTCCAGTATCTAAGACCGTTACCACAAATAGCAGCAACAAACCCTCTTCAAAACCCTGGTCTAGTCTCTTTGCAAGGGTCAAAAGAGGCCAATCAACTTTCTCATCCTTCTCTCCAAGAAGAGACATACGATCTAAAAATGATAATGCCCTTATCATTGATATAGGAAATCTTGACAGTTTCCTAAACGAAATTATGGTCTCTCTCTTTGAGACTGCAGGGGGTGATATTTTAGCAGCTAAGCCTCATATTCACAGGGGCGTGCGCACACATTTAGAACTAGTATTTGTAAGCAAAGAAAAACTCAAGCTCTATGCCACCAGGGTGTAGAAATTTTTAATAAAGTATACTATGGGTATATCTCGATCAATGCAAGAAGATCTTTCCTGTCTGTCAAAATTAGAAATATTCCACTAGGAAACAAGGAAGAGATTTCACGCGAGATTCAAGCCACTTTTGGTGACGTAGGCAAAATTGCCTCCATTAGGCCTCTGCTAATCAAGGGTACTCCATACTTAACTGATCAGTGGATAGTCTCCTTCAAAACCACAGATGACTCAAATTTAGAAAAAAGAATTCTCCGCTTCTATATTCTTCTTGACAACAAAGTTACTACAGAATGGTGATCAGCCCCTAAAATATGTTATTTTTGTGATAAAGAAGGGCATATTAAAAAAGATTGTGACCAATTCAAAGAAGCTCTTGAGCTTCAATGGAAATACAAGGCATATGTCACTAATAGAAGACAAAAATTAAATCAGCCTTTAGCAGCTAATAAGCCAGACGTACCCCTCCCAGACTCGGATACTTGTAACGAGGATGGAAATTCTTTGGTCTCTCAGATGACCTCTACCTCCTCCTCCGATTCTGTCTCAGTTGATAACGAAATTACTAAAAATCCCTGGTTGTCTGAAGAAGCCCAGGAAACCACTAATATAAACCTCTATGAAAATAATGATGGAACAGATTCAGCACCAGACACCCCATCTCCCACTGCAACTGCATCAAGAGAAGAACTCCTTCCCTCTAACTCCCCAGTAGTGCTTATCGACAATAACGCAACCACTCAGCCCCGAACGGATAACATAGAGGAGGAACCTTTCACAACAGTATGCAGAAAAAAGAAAGGTCGAAA